TATTGAAGGATCAAATGAATGTATAAACAAATTTTGCATATTTTACACAGTCCTTTAATAAGCTGTTTTATTTTATTTTTTTTTAATATTTATTTATTTTTTAGTTCTCGGCGGACACAACATCTTTGTTGGTATGTGGTGCTGAGGATCAAACCCGGGCCGCACGCATGCCAGGCGAGCGCGCTACCGCTTGAGCCAAGTCCCCAGCCCAAGCTGTTTTATTAAGAATAACAAATTCCAAAAAATGTTTAAATCATGAGGGTCAATGATGAATTAGTTAACAAGCTATCTGACCATCTTCATTGCCTCTTTCCCCAGAAGTAACCTTTCCTGACTCTAGTTTTATCCACATATTTTTTTTCTTGTGTGTTAGCTTCAACATTATATATGTAAGAATCACTCACATTGTTGTGGGCTGAAGCTTATTTTGATTGTTGTACAGTATTCCATGTGGGCCGTCCTACAATTTATTCATTCCAATGTTAATGGACATTTGGTCTGTTTCCACCAACTTATTTAAAAGGCAGGACAATCATCTTAATAAGTAAAAATGCCTCCCCACTGTACCCCTTGAGTACTAAGAAGTTATAAGAAACAGGTATTTGATCTATGTTTTATTAAAAAAAAATCAATATTCAGTTCAATTCAACAAATATTTCTAAAATTATATACAATTCAAGATATCCATAAATTCACCTTACTTTAGAATTATCCTCAAAAGAATAAAACTGTATTTAATTTTCAAGTTATGGATAGATAGAAGATAGAAAATAAGAATAGAGAATGAAGAAAACTTGACTGAGGGAAATACAATCAAACAGTAACCAAATTGTTTTGTTTCACTCTAGACTAATCACAAAACTCATCCTCCACACTGGCTGTGGTCCTTGTGCCCTTTTCAGTGGCAGGCACTCTCAACTTCTACAACTGCCTGTTACTTTCTCTTCTGATATTCCCCAGGCCTACAACACCCACAGCCAATTACTCAGTTTCTTAAATCATTCCTCCCCAAGTTCTGTATTTTTTCCCATTAAAAATCCATTTGCAACTCAAAAGAATTGCTTTTGCATCACCATCCATCCATCTTAAAGCTCAAGCCAAATGCTCAAACTAGAAACTCAAGATCATCACCCTTGATATCTTGATTCCTCTCTTCCTAACTCTGATAACCATCAATAGGCAAGCATTTCTGACACGTACAAATATCTCAAATCCCACCACTATATCTCCTTTGCCTTGATGCAAGTTACTACCATCTCTTGCTCACCTGCAACAACCTCTTAGTTGGTCAGCTCACTCATACTGTTGTCCCTAACTCTTCTCACAATGGACAGAGTAACTTCTTTTTTTTTTTTTTTTTTCTTTTTGGTACTTGGGATTGAAGTCTGGGGCACTCAACTACTGAGCCACATCCCCAGCCCTATTTTGTATTTTATTTAGAGACAGGGTCTCACTGAGTTGCTTAGCGCCTCACCATTGCTGAGGCTGGCTTGAACTCACTATCTTCCTGTCTCTTCCTCCAAGCTGGAGCCACTGGGATTACAGGCATGTGCCACTGCTTAGCCAGAGTGACCTTTTTTTAAAAAATGCTTATTAAATCACATGTTTCCTCTGCCTAAAAATAATTTAGTGGTTTCCCATTGCACTTAATATCCAAACAAATAACCTTACTTTATCCCATCCTACCCCCTGGCCTTACCACCACAGCCTCTCTATTTGGTTCCCAGTAAACAGAACTCTTGACTGTCAGTACTACCAGAACCAAATCAGGGTCTCAGCACACACTTCCTAAGCCTAGAATGCTCCCTCTATCCTCCTCACCTTCATGCTTTTACTCATTTCATCCTCTGGTTCTCAGGTTAAATGTCCCTCCTCACTCAGATTACCCTAGTTAAAGTAGGTAGTGACTCTCATCACCCCTCCCTTTATTCATTCTTAAAACATTCTGATGTATTCAAACATCCTAACACAATGTTATTTTATTTACATTTTTGTTGTGTCTTCTCACTAGAATATAAGCTCTATGAACATGGGGACTATGATAGCTTTCCTCACTAATACATTCCCAGACATAGCATAATGCCTATATCATAGTAGGTGCTCAATAAATAAGGATTAATAAATAAAAGAAAAACCACGAAGAGACAAGGAAACACTACTCCTTTACTGCTACCACTCACATCTAAGCCACCATCATCTCTCACCTATGTTACCACAAATGTCAGTCTTCCAGCCTCTAAGTTGCTCCCCTCCTATCTACATGAATATAGCAGAATGATCTTCTCCCTGTTCAAAAGTTTACCTTGGGTCTAGGTGTATAGCTCAATAGTATAAGTGCCAGCTTAGCCTGTATAGGATCCTTTCCTCAATTCCCAAACCCACCAAAAAAAGAAAAAAATAAGATAAAGCCTATTTTCCTCAGAGAAAAGTTCAAAATCCTTGCACCAGCCTATAAGGCCCTACATGCTTCTGTCCCCTTTCCTCTTCCATAATTTTATCTATTATTTGTTCCCTCATCTCAGCTCTACTCCAGATACACAAACCCCTTCTGTTCTTTGAACAAGCCAAGAACACTGAGCCTCAGGAGCTTTTCCTTACCCATTCCCTTGGACTGCAAGGTACTTTCCAACCGATATCCTCCTAGCTAACTCACACCAGTTTCAAATCTTTGCTCAACAGTCACTTCCTTATTAGGCCTGTCTTTTCCATGTATTTGAAGTTGCAGCCCTCTCAGCCCAACCCCACACCTTTCACATTGTAACATATTATGTGGTCACATGTTTCCCCTTACTCCATGTAGACTATTAGCTCCATAGGGCAAAAATCATTGTCCTATTACTTATATATTCCAAGCTCCTAGAACTGTGCGTAAAACACAGATGTTCAAATTTATTAATTAACTGATGAAGAATTTCAGTGAACTCAAGTTAAAGTTTCAGATCATCATCTATTATCACATTCTGTTATTTCTTGCACAGTGGATCACTATGCAATAAGATTACCACCTGTCTCAATACTTTAGGAAATGATAGCAATAAAAACTATTATTCTAGCATTATGGCTTAAAAAACTATTAAAGATACACAGCTTAATTTAGATACATTTGATTAAACATTGTTTTCAGAATAATTTAAGGCAGACACTACAAACTCTTGGGGTTACAGGCTGGGTTAGACACAATACCTATTCTCAACAGCATCTCAGTTCTGATGAGGAAGACAACATAAACATTAAAATGTGGTTCCAAAGTGTTTACAGAAGTTAATACAAGATTTCACTGGAATAAGAGAAATTCGTTAGTTGGAGAGGGCAGGAAGAGAGGATAAAGAAAGTTTGTTGGAGCAGATAACACTTGGGCCATATCTTAAAAGTGATCATGGAAAGGCATTTCTGACCAAGTAAAAGAGCCTATTTTAAAGAAGTCACAAAAGATAAAACATAAAGCTATATATAAGAGTGTTTAAAGGGCTGGGGATGTGGCTCAAGCGGTAGCGCGCTCGCCTGGCATGCGTGCGACCCGGGTTCGATCCTCAGCACCACATACCAACAAAGATGTTGTGTCCCCCAAGAACTAAAAAATAAATATTAAAAATTCTCTCTCTCTCTCTTTAAAAAAAAAAGTGCACAGGGGAGAAGGGCAGATAGATACTTCATACATATTATTTAAAAAAAAAAAAAGAGTGTTTAAAGACAAGTAGAGGGAGGTGGCAGTAAAGTACTTGCCCCTAAAGGGGTGTACAGCTTACCATAAATAGTATGGATTTTATTCAGAAGAAAAGTGAAAGGGCTCACAGATTTGAAATTAGTGTGAGTTAGCTAGGAGGATATCTGGGGAAAGCACCTTGCAGTCCAAGGGAATGGATAAGGAAAAGCTCTGAAGGATACATGTACAGGCGTGATAATTAAGTTTCTATGGATGATATATTGATGAGAGGCAAAGCTGGACATCAGGACAATCAAAGGGTGGCAGCAAGGTAAATAACAGAAAGGGCTGGTCAGGAATACCATGAGAGATGGAAAGAGATTTAAGAGATTCATTTTGAATTTTACAAAATCAACCTAGTCCTCAGAGGTTGGGGTGATGGGAGAGGCACATCCTAGATGATTCCAAAGTTTCTGATTTAGGCAGCTAAACAAATAACTCAACAGACATAATTCAGAAGGGAGATATACGTAGGAAATTTTTAAAAAAAAATCTAGGAAATCATGGCATTTCACTGAATTTAAGGAGGAAGGTATTTAGAATTTGAAAGGACCAGAAGATGGAATCCTAAGGGAAACATTAACATTTAAGAGAGATGAAAAGTGTATTACAAGAGCCATTTAACAGTCCGTTTTCCAAACTTAGATCTACATAAAAGAGAGAAAGAAGGAACCAGGAGGTGAAACCTCTATGTGAAATAGCTCCAGCAGCTTGTAATTTCCATCAGAACACAAGGAGATCACAGCACAGAATGGCCAGCAAAGAGCGTTTCTGCCTCAGGAGCTGAGAAGATACAGCATGTGTAGGTCCTCTTTCACTGCTACAAATCGGTCACCTGGGCTCTCACAGAGCGCTGTGTTGCCTGAACACACAGGGAATGGGATAAAGATCAGCAGTCTGGGAAAGGGGTCTGAAAAGTTTTACAAATCAATAGTCTCCCACTCACTTTTTAAAGAAATGGGTGTTTTACACGTGTTTTCTGTAGCCCACCAGATACAACAGGCCGTACTTGATCTCCACTGTAAGCCGCCTCAATAAAAGGATAAATTAACCCACCACCCAAGGCGGAAGTCGGAACGGGACACCGCCCATTTCCCGCCTCCTTCCCCCACAAATCCCTCCCTCCCTGCGAAAGCTCTGAAGCCCCGCCCACTTCCGTAACGCAGCACAGGCCGCAGGTCACGCCGGGCCTCAGCCAATGTTCTGCCTCCCAGGAAACGTTACCTCTGACCGCTGGGCTAATCAGAGACAGTGGGACGAACTCCTCGCGAGAGGTGAGGTTGAAGCTGCCTCCGCCATCTTGGAGATGGGAGACGGGCGATGGCTGTGGTCCTTCTGCTAATGCAAACAACAAAACGGGCACAGTAGTCGCCCCAGAGTGAGGTTTTCATCATTGTTAACTATTGACCAAAACTACAGAAGAAGCGAGAGTGTCAAAACCGAGCTCAGCGACACTGTGAGCCCTTTCACTTTTCTTCTGGGTCGGCTTAAGTGAAGTGACTGAGGACCGGAAGGATGGTGCAGTCCTGCTCCGCCTACGGCTGCAAGAACCGATATGATAAGGATAAACCTGTTTCTTTCCACAAGTATGGAACCAGAGCGTCTCGCGGAACGGTCCCAGCTGGGGTTGGGGGCGCGCGGCCGGTCGGGCTGGGGGCGGAGCTAGGCGCGTGTCCGCGCGAGACCTGACGAGAGGGGCGGGGGCGGGGCACGGGATTCCGGGCTACGGGCTCCGTAGGGGTCTCCCGGCCCTGTCGTGGTGGGCGTGCCTGAGTTGGGGATACTTTAGGAGACCACAGCAGCGCGCTCTAGGGTGTATTGCCGAGGCGGCCTTTTTCGCTCTCGGGGGGGTTCCTGGCTGCAAAGCTCTCACTTTCCTGGGCCTGGCGAGCTCGCTACCGGGAGCGATTTCTGCCGGCCGCTCAGGGCCTCGGGGCTTGGTCTTGCAAGAGTCGTGGAGCAGCCAGAATAACTCCCTAAGGCCCAAACTTCAAATAAAAACAAAAACCTTTAAAAACACCAAGAAGTCGCAATATTCTTATCCGCTGATTCGGAGGCTTGCATTATAGCAATTAATGATTGATTTTGGCCAGGATATCAGGATTTTTCTTTTTTTTACACAATTTCCAGGAATTACCCTTTAAGGGTCTCTTGGTTTTAAAGGAAGCCTCTGGTGCAGCCATGGAGTTGTTATCTTTCAGCACACAGTAATGATAATATAGACAATACTCAGGTGCCGTAATAAAGGTCAATGTGAGCTACTACAGATCTGCTCCACAGCTTTCAGGGCTATTTTATCCTCTAGTTTCCGCAGCTAACCAGCTGTAGTGGAGAATATTCTCTTGAAAATAAGAAAATTGCAAGATTGAAATTAACGGGCTGGGGATATAGCTCAGTGCTTGCCTAGCATGCACAAGGCCCTGGGTTCAATCCCCAACACCATTAAAAAAAAAAAAAAAGATTGAAATTAACGATAATCAAGTAATGCACACAATGTTTTCAATCAGCCAAATTCAGTGTTTACAAATTTTATCATGATTTCTCTGCCAGAGTGCCTGACGATATAAAATAGCTAAGAAGTCAGATCCAATGGTAAATTATACAAGTGTTTCATAACCAAATAATACGAAAGCAGATTTTAAAATATTCTTTCAAAAATTTTTATGAGGAATTATTTATGTGTGATAGGGGGTTTGGATGCATATTTATATGTTTTATGTAACTTGAACTGCACCACAGGCAAATAAAACTGCATGGAGCATAAAGAGATCTTCGGAGTGTTTACTTTTCCCCATGGAGAAAGGGTTGGCCCATTATGACATTCAGTTCAGTATAACCTAATTGGTGTTTTTGTAATTTTTGAAAATGATATCCTTTCAGGATGTAGGAATGAATAGGTCCGGAGATGACAGGAATATGCATTTGGCTCTCCACCTTCCCATCCCTCATTTCTAATAACAGGTAGAAAAAAATCTAAAAGTATGGAAAATGGTTGAGAATAACATAACACTTATCAGAAATACTGTGTTCCTGTTAGATCTTTAAAAGATTAAGCCTGAGCACTGTAGTGCACATCTATAATCCCAACAACTCTAGAGCCTGAAGCAGGAGAATAGCAAGTTTGACAGCAACCTGAGCAATTTAGGGAGATCCTGTATTAAAATAAAATGGGTGGGGATATAGCTTAGAGGCCAAATGCTCCTGGGTTCAATTCCCAGTACAAAAAAAAAAAGTTGAATGATTCAGAAGGGCTAACCTTAATGTAGAACAGTTTGGGGGCAAGTAGATGGGAAAGATCTTCATAGATTCTCACAGCTAAAATTGTAATCCTTGGGCCAGGAGGCCCTATGTATTGAATTTTACAAGTGATTGCTACCTTAGTTTGTACATCTGACTATCATTTCCAGCAGGGATTTTCAAAGAGCACCTCTTCTCCCAGCTTCTAAATAGTAGCAGAGAGAGAGCTTGCTGTGCCAAGAAAAGGAACTCTTGGATAGATTTGTTAGATCTTTGTGATTATAGCACAAATTTTAGCATACCTTAGTTGGAAGAGAAACTGAAATATATTTGAAACATCTTGTTTTGACTTTTTTTCCTAATCCTTCCAAATTCTATCTCCTTTTACTTGGGCCTAATGGACATATCCCAGTTGAGTTAGAGATAAATAAAATAAATAATTTCCTCTTTTTTTTTTATCATTATCTGCCCATAATTTGATTAGTTCACATTCAGCCTATTCATATTTTTCAGTCAGAGTGATTGTACTAGAACTAGAAATCTCTTTTCCCCTAGGACAGTAGATGTGTATATACCATTTTTGTTTTTATATGCACCACACAGAAATTTATTAGTAAAAAATATATAAGTACAGTTTCATTCTATAGGATATGTTTTACTTGAACCTTTTTTGTCTTTAATATAGAAAGTTAAACATTAATCAGTGAGATCAATATGTAAGTGGAGCTAATCTTTAATCAAGTACTCTTTAGTATGTCAAGACCAATGTAAGATAGTTCTTTACTAAGTAAAAAAGTTTGGGTGCCTTTATTTGTTTATTTTTAAAAAGGTTAGAGAACTGAATTATGTCTTCTTAGGTTTCCTCTTACTCGACCCAGTCTTTGTGAAAAATGGGAGGCAGCTGTCAGAAGAAAAAACTTTAAGCCCACCAAGTACAGCAGTATTTGTTCAGAACATTTTACTCCAGACTGCTTTAAGAGGGAGTGCAACAACAAGTTACTGAAAGAGAATGCTGTACCCACAATATTTCTTTGTACTGAGCCACATGACAAGGTAATATGTATTTCAAAATGTTGAGCTGTCTTGTATTTATAAAATTAATGTGTTTAATGTATTCATTGTGGAAAATTTGGAAAACTTAGGGAACAGTTAAAAAAACAGATGTAGCTAGAACCTATTGCTTGTAAATAACCACTCTTAACAGTGACATACTTTTTTAAAAATACAAAATGGAGTTTATTAAGTATCCTCACCCTAAGGAATTCAATCTAACTTTGTGACTTAAAGATCACTCTAGGGCCTGGGGTTGTGGCTTAGTGGTAGAGCATTTGCCTAGCATATGTGAGGCCCTGGGCACCACAAATAAATAAAATAAAGGTCCATTTACAACTAAAATAAATATATACATTAAAAAAATAGATCACTCTATGCCTCTACTTGTATGTTGATAAGTTTGGGGTTATCTTTCTCAGTGATGGTTTAGTTTTAAGTTATTATCTGTTGTCTGCATCCCACTTCAATTTTAAGTAGTAAAAATTGAAGCTCTGTTCTTATTTTGGAATGTTTTTGTACCACCGAGTCACAGAAGTCTAGTATTTCCAAAATTCCACAGTTTAACTCAATTAAGCTATTATTTTTAGTTACTAAATTCACATATGATCTGCATTTTTATTTTAGAAGGAAGATCTTCTGGAGCCACAAGAACACCTTCCCCCACCTCCTTTAACACCTCCCATTTCCCAGGTCGATGCTGCTATTGGGTTACTAATGCCTCCACTTCAAACCCCCGATAATCTCTCAGTTTTCTGTGACCACAACTATACTGTGGAGGATACAATGCACCAGAGGAAAAGGATTCATCAGCTAGAACAACAAGTTGAAAAGCTCAGGAAGAAGCTCAAGACTGCCCAGCAGCGATGCAGAAGACAAGAACGACAGCTTGAAAAACTAAAGGAGGTTGTACACTTCCAGAAAGAGAAAGATGATGTATCAGAAAGAGGCTATGTGATTCTACCAAATGACTTCTTTGAAATAGTTGAAGTACCAGCATAAAAAAAAAAAAAATGAAACGTGTATTGATTTTTAATGGGGCAAGACCACACATCCTCTTTTAGCTTATATAGGAGTTTCATTTGGGGAAAAAAGCACTTGATTACTTGTATAAAAACAATTCAGAATATTTTTTTAAAAAATAAATTAGATATATACTGTAAAATTGTAAATTTTTGTTTGTAATTTCAGAGTTTTTACATTAAAAAAATATTTTAAAAGTTATTTAAAAAAGCCTTAGACTGCCATTGTAATAAGTTGGTTTCAAGATTGGAGATTTTGTTTGAATATTTATAGAAATAATGTAAAAATAAAAAGCACAGAGAGTGAGAACAGTGAAGTAAAGATAAGATGTAAGTTTCAATTTTAAAAATTAATGCTCTTTATTGAAAAAACTTAATTATATTTTAAATCAGAAGTATGGATTAGATCGTAGGGTATAACCTGTCTGTGTATTCGAACATTCACATCCGTAAAAGCAGAAGGTTCATTTATCTTTCTGAATCACTTGTCAAAGATAAATTGGCAAATCAATTGAAAAAGATTTGACTGTCTTCAGAACAGAAAATAAAGAATCATTCTGTATGTAATCAATAAATATAAAGGTGAGTTTTTAAAAAATGAACCCTTTCATTTTTCCCCAGCATTATAAAATCGAATATATTCTCAGGTAGAGAAACTCCCCCATTTTTTTTTCTTTTTTTTTAATTTTGAGACAGAGTCTTACTACATTGCTTAGGGCCTTGCTACACTGCTGAGCCTGACTTTGAACTTGCAATCCTCCTGCCTCAGCCTACAGAGCTGCTGGGATTGCATACATGGGCTGCAGTGCCCAATTTTGGAAGAAACATTCTTTAACAACAAAGTAAGGCATTTGTTACCATTGAAGTAAAAATTGGGACCTGACCCTTGATGAAAGGATACCCAATTCCCTAACCGTAATTATATCTTCATCCAAATGTCTTACCAAATATGTTCTGTTGATAGTTTGATTTGTATAATGACATGGTACTCTTGTGTTTAACTAATTGATTTTGGTCCAGACTTCACATAAAAAATTAGTTTTTCACTTGTAACATGTTAGAAATTATATCCCACCTACTTAAATGAGTGATTTATGTTCAAAAGCAACCTAATACGTAATGTTTATTGTACTAAATGTTGAGACTTACTGCAGTTTCTGTTCAAACTGTGAGTTGTAGTCTAATTTTGTGAGAAATTTTACATATATTTGAAATGAAAACATGTTCTGAGTACAAAATATTGCTATAGAAATTATTTAGATTTAGAATAATTATTCCAACTAAAATTATCACTTTTATACTTAAAGGTACATTGAGATAGTTGAAGAGTAACAGAGTTTTTTTTAAAGACAATAGTAAGAGATAAAACAAGGATGTTAAAAAGTGTTTTTTATAGAACTGATTTTTATTGTTATTCACTGCCATGCTACCTATAGGTAGCAGTTTGATTCATGGAGATTTGATTCTTTGTGAACCAATATCTCAAAAATAGAAAATAATCTTTAGATTACTTACATAGTCTGATAACAATATTTAGGACTACAATGAATGAGAGCACGTTCATTGGTTTCTGGTGGAACGCAACCGTTTTTTAGAAGCTTCAAAGTCTTCAAATAGTTTGTTTTCATATTTCATCTCTAGCAATTCCTGGAAAACTGGGTAGATATTTTTTCAAAGTGTGTATCTTTAACCTAAATTGTCTTCTACATAAAAGACTGTGTGTGTGTGTGTGTGTGTGTGTGTGTGTGTGTGTGTGTGTTTGTCCAAAACCAAGAATCTAGGTTAGATTATAAATGTGGTAATCATAATTATTTAGCGTTATTTAATTTGAAGCTGTTGTCTTTATGACAGATGTAAATCCCCATTTGTATCTGAGTAAGCAGCACATGTACCAACAGCTTGTATTTAAATGTTTGAAATGTACATGCTTATTTCTGAATTTGAGGTGGAACAATTTAACATCTTGTTGATTTTTCTTTTTTTTTGTTTTGTTTTGTTCCCCCCCCCATTCTGGGAATGAATTTAAATTTACCATTGCTGATTGCAATTTTGCAATTCTCCTACCATGTCCTCATATGTAGCTGGGATTACAGGAGTGTGCCATTGTGCCTGATTTGTTGAATGTTTTTAAAATTCATTTTATCTATTGTTTATAACATTTCCAAGAAAAGTAAAACATTTAGGCTAAAATAAGTCCTGTTCAAGTATAATGGAACTCAGTCTGAAAAAAAGTAGGGAAAAAGTCAGTCTGAAATGGGGAGAAAAGAAATGCGAATTGCAGCGTATTCTGAAAGTTGAAATTTAAGTGCATATAGTAAAATACTAAAATATCCATTTATGTGTGACAATTTGGAAGAAATAGCAAAAAACAATTATTTCTCAGAACTGCTGGGAGAACTGGAAAATCTCACAGGGCTTTAGAATCAAAGTAGTGTAGAAATTCTTGAAGACTCATCATCAAACCCTGTATGATTCCCTTTTATAACATCTTTGGTAAGTGGTGATCCTTTCTCTGTTCACTTTTAAGCAAATATTCTGCTTAAATTCTTTAAAATAGGGTTTCTAGATAAAAATAGAATCAGTTGCCACTTTAATTAAAGAATATTTCTTTATGGAACTATAAACTTTACTTTGACCTCCTACTTAGTTTGAACTGTCACATTCTAAAATTAAAGTCTTGAATTAAAAAAGAATTTTAAGTGTATACTGATCTTATACCTGTTGTGTGTTCTTAATAATTTTGCCATTGTGGTAAGAGCATAGCAGCAAACATTGAGTAGGCAAATAATGATACAAAATATATCTATAAAAATTATATATCAATTGTTTTTTATGTTATACAACTATCTACGCATATCTTTTTTTTTTTGTAGTTGTAGATGGACAATATGCCTTTATTTTATTTATTTTTATGTGGTGCTAAGGATGGAACTGAGTGCCTCACAAGTGGGAGGCAAGTGCTCTGCCACTGAGCTATAGCCCCAGCCCTGAGTATATCTTTTAAAACTTCACTCAACATGTTTTTAAATTTTATCTGTTTATTCATGGAAACAGCTCATTTATTTTCATTGTTGATGTTAATTCATAAAGAAGCCTTACTATTAAAAAAGAAAGAAAGAAAGAGGCCAGGCATGATGGTACATGCCTATATTGTGGCGACTTGGGAAGCTGAGGCAAGAGAATGAGAAGATGGCCAGTTTGAGGCCAGCCTCAGTAACTTAAGGCCCTAAGGAACTTAATAAGACCTTCAAGACCTTGTCTCCAATAAAAAATAAACAGGGCTGGGGATGTGGCTCAGTGGTTAAGAAATCCTGGGTTTAATCCTCAATATCTTATTTAAAAAAAAAAAAAACTATAAGGAGGTAAAAATGTGAGGGGAAAAAAATGAAAATTCTAGAGTTGTTATTAACCAGAATAAAACATTCATTAGTGGAATGCAACACTAGTTTGAACTGATAGAAGAAAAATGGGAAAACTTGAAGGTAGAGATTATGCCATCTGAAGAGTAGAGATGAAAAAAAGAGAAATGAACAAAGCCTCAGAAATGTGTAGCATTGTTAAACACACCAACATATGAGTAAGTGGAGTACCAAAAGAAGAAAGAGGCTGGGGGCAGGGAGAGAGGAAGGAGCAGAAGAAAATTTAAGAAATAATCATTCCCAAGTTTGATGAAATACACATACACAAAGCACACAAGAAACTTAATGAATACCAAACAAGATAAATTCAGAGATCCACGGCCAGACATGTAATAAAAATGTTTAAAAAAAAAATTCTTTTTTGAAAGCAGTAGGAGAAGAGTGAAGTTGTATACCTGAGAACTACAACAAGATTAATGTTGTGGCTTATTAGGAAAAAAAAAAAAAATTAGACCAGAAAGCAGTCAAATGACAGAGTGCTAAAGGAAAAACTTTTTGTCAAATTTATCTGTAGCAAAACTCTCAAAAGTGAAAGTAAACCAGATGCACCGATATACTCCTGTAATCCCAGCCACTTGGGAGACTGAAGCAGGAGGATCATAAATTCAAAGTCAGTCTCTGCAATTCAGCTAGACATCTCAAAATTAAAAAGGAGGGGCTGAGGTTCAGTGGTAGAGCACTTGCCTAGCCCATGTGAGGCACTCGGTTCAATCCTCAGAAGCACATAAAAAGTAAAAAAAAAATATATATATATATATATATATATATATTTTTTTTTACTAAAAATATTTTTAAAAAATGAAAAAGAATGTAACTCAGAGTAAACCTGGGTTCCATCCCCAGCTCTTTACAGAGGATGAAAGAAAAGGGGTGTGGGGCGGGGGGCAGATTCTGGGGAAATGGCAGGATCATAGGAAATACCAGGAAAATATCACCACACAGACAAAAATAGTTGTCATCATCTATGTGTTGAAACTGTTTTGGAACTCTAGTCTTTTGAATGCTTGAAACCAAGAGAAGGCTTGAATGGCACATTACAGGGTCAACTTCAGTTGAATTCAACTCTTAGCTCAGTGGCAACTTACAATTTTTCACACCCCCTCCCCCAGCCGTATGGCAGAAAGTGCAAAAGCTACAGGAGCAGTTTGTAAATGACTTATGAAAATCAAGTCAAATAAGAACCCTGCCCTCCAAGTACCAGGCTTCTGTGTCTAATTATTACTGTTGCTTCTAATCACGGAGGTGCAAGTGCACTGGGGCAGCCATTGTTGCTGTTAGCACTCAGCTTTTTATTCAGAAATGGAGTTTCATGCAGAAACAGGATGACGCCTCTGATGGATCCACTTTCCTAGTGGAAAAAAGCCACTGGCCAAAGGGAGAGTCTGGACTTATGCTGGTTATACTGAGAGATGACTTGCGTGTGTGGGAATCCACCCATGAAAAGAGCGAGGACTTTTTCAGCATTGAAGCCCATGAGGGGGTAGAATCCGTTATTTGGGAACTTATAGTGGCACTCCTGCTATTAAAACTGCCTGATACGAGTGAACTTCCTCTCAGCTCTGCCCAAAAAGATCTTCTGAAGCACTCGAGATGGGCGTGACCCATTAGAAACCGGTGGCCTACCTGCCCCCACCTGTATCCTGTTTAGGTGAAGAACTTTCATTTAATCTATTCTGATATAAATAAAGCAAGCTTGCGGTCTCCCTTCTTGGTCAGAACTGTACCCATCTGGTCAGGCTGGCCGGTCGCTGCCCCCATTCTGAAACTGTATTTCTGTGTCCTATTTCTGTAGTACTTTTGTTCATAGCTTTTATTTCTCAGCTGGCGCATCCTTCCAGAGAACCCTCTCTCTTGCCCATGCAGGATGTGAGCGAGAAGCTTGTCAGTTTGGGCACTCAGTAATTTGGGTTCTGTTTTATTAATGAATGAATGTGTCAGTTTGAGCACTCAGGACTTTGGGTTTTTTGTTTTGACTGGGCAGTGGAGGAGTTGGGGTCAGCAGTCAGTATCTGGGACCTGTTTTTACTGGGCAAGGTATAGTGTTGGGGGTCTGCCGCCAGCAACTGGAAATAATTTGTTCTGGGAGAGATCAATGCTTAAGTCTCTTCTCAGAGACTGTCATTCTAGGTATGATGGACTCCTTCTCCCCAGGGCTTTTTTTTGTCACAAGGAATGGAGTTTCATGCAGGAAAGGATCAATACTATCAATGTGTGGCTTTCTTTTTCACTTCCTTTTCCCAGTCTGCACTATTTGGGGGTTTTTCATTTTCCTTATCTGACAGTTGCACCCCCCCCCACACACACACAGATGCAAACCCCTCCCCTATGGAAGGGAGGTCCAGAAATTAAAGATTTGGCACCTCCCCGCTCCCACTTTTTTTTTTTAACCCCTCTTGGGAGCCAGGCATTAAAGTTAGGACATTCAAAAACAACTTCACGTAGGGGGAAATTATAAAGTCAATGTGCCTACCCAGGGGAAAGTGCAGTCTACACCTCAGGCTGATTCCAAGCACAGAGACAATTCATAACAAAACCAGGGCTGGGGATGTGGCTCAAGTGGTAGCGTCCTCTCCTGGCATGCATGCAGCCCGGGTTCGACCCTCAGCACCACATACAAACAAAGATGTGTCCGACAAAAACTAAAATAAATATATATATATATATATATTTAAAAAAAAAAAGAGAGAGCCGTCACGGTGGCCCATGCTGTAATCCCAGCGACTTGGAAGGCTGAGGCAGGAGGATCTCAAGTTCAAAGCTAGACTTAGCAACTCACTGAGACTCTGTCTCTAAATAAAATACAAACAAGGGCTGAGGATATGGCTCAGTATTTAAGTACTCCTGGGTTCAATCCCTGGTACAAAAAACAAAACTAGTAAAGCCTAGGGTGGTGGGAAATGGAAGCCAAAGCATTGATTCTTTCCCAAATAATTCCTTTCTCAGTGACAGTATAATGGAAAGAGATCATCATTGAACGCTGATCCCCAAACCCTCCATTCTTCTCCAAGTAAAAATATTGCCCAGTAAAAAAAAAAAAAAAAAAAAAAATTCAAATTCTCACCAGCCTGTTTCCCTGAGTGCCCAAACTGACATGCGCTGTTAATAAAACTCAGGGGCAGAGCACTCCCCTAGCATGGTGAGGTACTGGGTTTGATCCTTAGCACCCCATAAAAATAAAACAAATGAAATCAAGACATGCTATCCATCTACAACAATAGATAGATAGAAAGTTACCTCTTAGTGTAACCTATATAAGCACAGACTCCCACTTTGGCCAATGGTTCACTTTCCATCAGGAAAGTGGGTCCATGAGAAGCATGACACCACTGCTGAATAAAGGCTTT